TAACTTTTTATCCCGATCCCTTGCGACGGTTGAAAATTTTTCAATGTTTTTTTTTTGTTGATATTATTTAATACATATTTTGAGGAAGTGTGTGTGATTCGTGGTAGTGCGTGTGATGTATATAATATCATGTATTTGTATTACTTATATATATTATTTAAAAAACTCTTAATACAGTACTTTAGTATTTAAACGTTGATTATGTTGAAATTCAACTTCGTATGTTCGCGAATTTCTCTTAAAAATAACTCGAAAGTTTTCGCTACAATTGCTAGAAAGTGTAAAGATATTTTTGGTTCACAATCTCTGTGTTTCACTGTTTCCATCATCTTCATCAGCCTATCAGAGCCCACTGCTGAAAGGCCTCTTCTCACATGGAGAAGGTTTGAGCATTAATAAAAAAAAATCACATTGGTACTAGCCAGGTCTCAAACCCGCGCCCTCATTTACTAGAAGCAGACCTTTAACCACTAGGCCACCACGAAATTACACGACATTGTTTTCCATATATATAAATACTAGCTTTCCGCCCGCAGCTTCGCCCGCGTGGAGTTCGGTTATATCGTGTTTCCAAGAGAACCTTTCAAAAGTATGAGATAAAAACTATCCTAAATTCTTTCTCAAGGTTAACTCAATGTCTGTACCAAATTTCATTAAAATCAGTTCAGTGGTTGAGGCGTGAAAGCGTAACAGACAGACAGACAGAGTTACTTTCGCATTTATAATATTAGTAGGGATATCTTTATATATATATATATATATTGTATCTGGTAAAAGCAGACATAAGTCACGGTAATTTTGTGTGCTTTCACCGTCAGCCCGAGGTCAAGGAACAGGTCCCAGGTCCACTCTCACTTGGACCCTTGATATGGACCCTATGATACATACAAGGCGTTACACGCGACTTTGCTCGCTAAATTATATATATTTAAGTTGCATATATATGATAGAACATAGTGCTTATATACTTGTTACTTAAGACTTGACTTGAAATATTGTATTGTATATGTTTTTCTTTTTCCTGGCAATTTCCCAGGTTTAGCCAGGGTCTGCCTTGCATGTTGTGAATAGTTTTGGCGCTAATTGTTTTTACGACCGGCCGCCTGCCTGACATTAACCCTCTTTGGGAAATTGTGTTGTATATGTTTTTGTCAATGTGTTTTAGGGTCAAAAATAAATACTATATGTACATAATATGTTATATATGTAAGCAAACATATAAAGTGACGTATTACCAAAGTTCTGTACGTTTGTTCAGCTTAAATCACATCCTATCTCCGAACTAAATCACACTAAAGTTTCATCAAAATAATTCAAGCAATTTTCATATAGATCAACAGACATACAAACAAAACTGGATTTTATTATAGTTTTGTTGCAATACGATATTACTATATAAGTGTGATATGAAAGTTAGCTTGGCTGGGCCTGAATTGGTCTTTCGAAACGGCCGGCTGTGGTGACGTCATGATTACGTCATCCCCCCCCCCCTCCTTCCAAGATGACGACTTCCTGCAGGCTTTTGTGTTGAATGTACCTAAAATTATCCCCTGTTTGAGAAGTTCATAAGACTATTGTGTTTTTTTCTATATGGAATGTCTGTTCATTGCTGAGACGATTTGGGTGAAGTTTTGTATACAGATGTAGTGTGTAATGTAAGAATATGGCACCGTTTTTATGTTCGTAAAGTCGTATTTTTAAATTACCAGCAAACTGTCAGTTTGATCGTTCATCATTACTAATATTATAAATGCGAAAGTAACTCTGTCTGTCTGTCTGTTACGCTTTCACGACTAAACCACTGAACTGATTTTAATGACATTTGGTACAGACATAGAGTTGACCTTGAGAAAGAACATAGGATAGTTTTTTATCCCAGACTTTCGAAAAGTTCTCTTGGAAACGCTGGCGGAAAGCCAGTTGATCATAAATCGTTTTAATTTTTTCGTTTCTATCACGCCCATAAAACAGTAGATGCTATCTCCATTCAGCGCCTATTTCCAGCACGGCTTGCATCTCTCGAGACGAGCTGGCCAGGAAGTGCCGCGATAGCCCCAATTCGTTAAGGTCAAAGGTCATACAATTGAACACTAGCGAATCCCATCACCTATACGTCATTTCCTTTTCATGAGCTACCCAGATCCGTGTGGAATGGATTCCGAGGATTATTTGGATTGTATTGGTAATTATTTAGTAGAAATATACACACAAACACACACACACACACATATATATATAGTAGTTACTTTTGTTAGTATAAATAACTTTAAGAATTTTGATTCCATATATTAATATACACTCACTATAAATACATATGTACTTTATAAGAGTATTTAGACACCACTGACAGACGAAGGAAAACATCGTGAGGAAACCTGGACTTATAATATCAAATTATAAGTTTGAAATCGCCAAACCGTCTTGAGCGAGCGTGGTGATTAATGCTCAAACCTTCTCCATGTGAGAAGAGGCTCAGCAGTGGGCTCAGATAGGCTGAAAATTAATAATATAAATCTACATGTACATACATAGATTCATCTTAATTTATAAACCAAGTCAGGAGTTAAGCGTCTATTTCATGTCTGTCCGTCTCTTTGTTCGGCTTTTTGTGGAAACGAACAAAATGTAGGAAGAAAATTGGTCGTATTGAAATTCTTGATAATCGAAATTTAGTTTTGAAAGTCTATTGAAATGAAAGTGGAAAGTATGTTTGAAAGTTTACAATTAGTACTAAGGATAAATATTATAAAAAGTAAATAAAGTTTAAATCTTATATATAGTGATATTATCTTTATATATAAAAGAAAGTCGTGTTAGTTACACTATTTATAAGTCAAGAACGACTGTACGGATATGGATGAAGAATCAGGAGACGGACATAGGATATTTAATACTGTTCCATAGAAAAAGAAAAAAAATACTTAATATATTTCAATATTTTGTTATTTATGACCTCTAGGGCGAATTAGTGTTCGCTCGCTTAGCTATGCATATATTACTAAAGCCGAAATTAACGCGGACGAAGTCGCGAATAAAAACTAGTGTATATATATATATATATATACAATATGATCGTTAATATATATATATATATATCAAACTCCACCCGGATATAAAATTCCAGATGTTCTCAAACTTTAAAAAACCTAAAAGTAGAAGGAACACATTTATCAGGGCGATTTAACCGGCTCTGGCAGTGTGACAAGAGGTGGTTGTCTTGGCAAGCTAGCACCACTGCATTGCATACAACACCCAGGTCGATATCACGTGCGAAAAAGATCTCCTAGACATCCATCTATAGTAATTTTAAAACAACATCACTTTTGGCTTATACTAATTTTGATGGACGAGTTAAGTCATATGTGGGTAGGCGTATATTTGTGTTAATGTTTTTACTGTATTTCTATCGTGAATATTTTCTAATCAACAAATTTATTATTATACTAGTTTTTGTTTGCGACTTTTCGCTTTTATTTAGGAATTAATTATGTATAGCTGACCGGGAGAACTCTATTCCGACTTAACTAACTTACTAGATATGGGAAATAATTGAGTTTTTTTCTGTTTCGATCGAACAGAATTAAATATCCTGTGTCCTTTCTATGTTCTAGTCTATCTCTCCACCAATTTCCATCCATATCCGTACAGTCGTTCTTGAGTTTAAATAGTGTAACTAATACGACTTTCTTTTATATATGTATATAGATTTTAAGTTGAATTATTTTTTACTAATAAGTATGTTTTGTTGTTAATTTTTATATGTTACTAGTTTTTGTCCGCGACTTCGTCCGCGTTAGTTTCGTCATTAGTAATATATGTATAGCTGACCGGGGAACTCTATTCCGTTTTAGAGGCCATAAATAATCAGGTTTCTCCTGTTTCAATTGAACAGAATGATTGACATATTAGTTAGTTGTCAAATCTAATGTCAAAGAAAACATTTGTATGGGAAATAGAAAAGGGCTGTTTTTAGGGTTTTCCTGGAAATGAATCAATTTTTCTCAGCTTTTAAACCTTTCCTGAACCTCCACGAACATTTCAAGACTAAGATAACATAAATCCGTTCAGTCGTTCTCGAGTTTTAGCGAGACTAAGGAACAGCAATCCATTTTTATATATGTATATAGAAGATAAATACATTCAAGTTGAATTAGTTTGCATATTTATATTAGTTTATGAATATACCATACGTGAATATATCAATTATCAAGGTAGTTTTGATACTATGTATCTTAGTACTCAAGACGTACGCCTCCCAGCGAGACGAACACTCACACGATTGTGTAGGTACGTCTATTTGCTTCTATCACGAAAACGGCTTAAAAATCCTGATTAATTTAGAAACGAATGATAAGTATATAGTATAGTGTATACTAAATTATTTTTTGATATCAATCAAGGCGTTATTGTAGTAGTTAGTACATTACTGATTTTGCAGAGTAACTGTTTTAATTAATACTGATAAGAAATTCTAATTTACTTTGTTTATTTGCGAATGTGTTGCTGCCCTTGATTGGGGAAAGGGGGAGGATAATTTTGTTAAAAATACCTATTAATGGATTCGTCTATTTAATTGTTATTGCTATACAGGGTGACTGGTGAATTACTATCAATATTTAAGGAGCATACTCGGTACATGATTCTCATTCCAATTATGTAAAAAAAATAGGTACTTAATTTTTGACCAAATTTCCGTATAAATAAATAAAGTGTTGACACGTTCCAAGTGTTCCAAGTGTGGACGCGTGCGGCGACGTGCTGATACAACACTACGCCGCCGCCGCGTCTGTGTGAGTGTGTGTGTATACCTAATCTGTAGGGTGTTCATACGATGCGTGATTAATTACATAATTTTTGGTTAACTTAACTTAGAAGTTTATTAATATTTATGTTATATTAATTTTTATTTCGTCATATATGATCGTCAAATATCACGTCCTCAAATATCGATAGTAATTCACCAGTCACCCTGTATATTAACTTCTGTTAAATGGTTTCAGCGATGGGAGCAGTGCTGGTAGCCCCAAGGAGGCGTGCGTGGCTCAGTCCCCGCCACCAGTGCCAGCCAAGAGACATCCTCACCATCACCACGAACAGCGACGTCTCAGCGTTGGTCAGTTTGTTATATATACGAAACTAGCTTTCCGCCCGCAGCTTAGCCCGCGTGGAGTTCGGTTATATCGCGTTTCCAAGAGAACCTTTCAAAAGTCTCTGATAAAAATTATTCTTTGTTCTTTCTCAAGGTCAACTCTGTCTGTACCAAATTTTATCAAAATCAGTTCAGTGCTTTAGGCGTGAAAGCGTATCAGACAGACAGACAGAGTTACTTTCGCATTTATAATATTAGTAGGGATTAGCTCGGTGCTTTTTATTATGCCTTGCTAGTCTTGTTCAAACATTTTTTCACGTGTCATAATGGTCGAATTAGCAAAATTTTTTAATACACCTTTTTGGCTAGACTATAGTAAAAATCATACATTTTAATCATTTTGAATTATTTTATGATAATTTATCTTCTTGCGTTGGACGGTTTTGCATGTTATTATGTAATTTATTTATTTTGTATTAGAGTATTTAATATGTATTAAAAGAAGAATTTCAAGTAGTTTTGAAGGCGTCTTTAGCTTTAGCGTCTTAAATTTTCTGATACTTTTAAAAATGACAATAAGTCAACTTCTTGTATAAATTTGCGTCTGTACACCATAAGTAAATTATAGAATTATTTTTAATAAAGCATAACATTTGACAAGACAGTGTAATCTTTTATAAATAATAAATATAAAATTTGTTTTTCTATATATTCACACAATATTCTCATTAGAACCAGTTCTCAAGATTCGAGCGTTCGAACAAACATACTTACCAGTTATAGAGGATTAGTATCCATATAATGAACTCCTTTTTTTGATGTCGGTCAAATTATATATATGAATGAATTGCTGTTCGTTAGTCTCACTAAAACTCGAGAACGGCTGAACGGATTTATCTTATCTTAGGCTTGAAATGTTCGTGGAGGTTCAGGGAAGGTTTAAAAGCTAAAATTTTTTTTATTCATTTCCGGGAAAACCCTAAAAAAAGACCTTTTCTATTTCCCACACAAACTTTTTTTTTGACATTACATTTGACAACTAACTAATATGTCAATCATTCTGTCGCACTTCAGAACACGGAGATTTATGGCTTACAGGTAAACTCTAAAAATATATATAAAAAAATGTAATAGATATTTCTTGATTATAGGGCGATACGAAGTTCGCCAGGTCTTCTAGTATATATGTATGTATATAATCGGCTGAACATAGGGCCTAGTAACATCTCTGTTCGATGCATTAGCTAGCCTTCTGGGTTGCGTCATCGCCTTTGTCTTACAACATGATTTGACCTTAGATTTTAATATATATGTATATGAACAGACAATCCGCTCGTTAAAAATTATATTATGCAAAAACTAGGAGATGATATATAAGAATTTCACGAGTAAAATTGAAATCGCCTCGCCTGATGATCAAGGTTGCTGTAAAGGAACCGAAACGGGATCATGTAGATATAGAATAATGAAAAATATGTATGTACTATGCGAAAATATTTAGTTACATTTGACTAAAGATGTGCTAGTTCTTGCCTATGACTCTGTCTGTTGGCTCAGGTTAAGAGAGAATGTATGAATGGTCTTAAAAATATATATACATACTAGTTTTTGCCCGCGACTTCGTCCGCGTTAATTTCGTCATTAGTAATATAGGAATAGCTGACCGGGCAAACTCTATCCCGTCTTCAATAACCCGGTATTGGTATTTATTAAATTTCTACTGTTTCAATCGAACAGAATGATTGACATATTAGTTAGTTGTCAAGTCTAATGTCAAAAAATCGTTTGTATGGGAAATAGAAAAGGGCTGTTTTTAGGGTTTTTCCAGCAATTATTCAAATTTTTCTCACCTTTTAAACCTTTCCTGGACTTCCAGGAGTATTTCAAGACTAAAATTAGCCAAATCGGTTCAGCCGTTCTCGAGTTTTAGCGAGACTAAGGAACAGCAATCCATTTTTATATATATAGAAGATATATGTTTATATGTATGTATGTCATGTGACTTGATACACTGTACAAGTGTTGGTCATTATCCTGCGACAACTGCAGAATGTATCTCCAAATGTATCCAACGTCTTAATTTTGGTTTTGAGCCTACGAATCTGTAAAGTTTCATCAAAATCTGTCAATACAGAGCCACAATCATCGCTACATATTCACAAATTTACGCATATACATTAGTAGAATCTTGATTTAGACTTGCGCCGTTTCAGAAATACATTTGACTTCTAATATGAAGTTGACTATAACAAAGAGTGTCTCGTGGAGAGAACACAGACGTACGAACAAATATGACGTCATAATAAAATATTCAAAAATATAAAATTTATTTCAACGAAAACTCATTAATCTACGACTGTTCTTGATTCTGAGAACCGAATATTTGACCTCTTAAAATTTAACCTCTGTGTGACTCGTATCGTAATTTCAATTTAAATATAAAATTATATTGAGATTATAGATTTATATTGCTTTAAAACACTCAATGAAAAACCTCTGACTATCCACATGTTACTTTCTCTTATTGAAAGGATTTTTAGTATGTCATCTATATAATGAAACATTTAAATGTAGCAGACTACTTTAACTTGTTAAAAAGGAATGTAATTTTTTTAGTATATCACAGTTAATACGATAACAGTACTTTTAAACAAACAATACATGTCGTTAGTGGTAGTTAAATCAAATACATTTTTGTCTATACATCATTGTGACAATATATGTATAATATTACCTGGCAATTTCCCAGCTTTAGCCAGGGTCTGCCTTACATGTTGTGAATAGTTTTGGCTAATTGTTTTTACGACCGGCCGCCTGCCTGACATCAACCCTCTTTGGGAATGCATTAATCAGTGATGTCTAAACTCTTAGAAAGTATAAATGACTCGAAAAATCACATTGGTACTTGCCGGGATCGAACCCGCGCCCTCATGCAGGAGAGGCGGGACTTTGAACCAATAGGTCACCACTGACTTCACTATATGTATATGGGTGTTTCTCTGCTATTTAGAAACTCATTACTACAAGACTGTCCTAACCAAAATTTATCAAATGTTGAGAATGTTTGTCAATACAAAGCAAGGTAATAGTATATCAAAAATATATATTCAAGAAACACACACATTTTTTTCTTTGTTTTTGAGGTATGAGCGGTTTTGTGCAAAATCGTGACAGGGTAATGTTGTGGCTAACCAGGGGAATGTTTTTATGAACAAAAACTAATATTTTTGTATGTTTAAATAATCAAATCTTTATTTTTATTAGCACTTACAATGTGTAATTATTACTTAAATAATCAACGAGATCAAAACTAAATTCGCTTACAAAATAGAGACATTTTAATAACATTTGTTATAAACTGAACAAAATCAACTTCTTACTTTAACAGTCTTTCTAAAATACTGATTGTTTGACATAAGTCAGCTCTTAGAATGTTAATGAAAATAAAAACAAAAATATTACCTCTGTTATCCTATTATTACAATAAACTTTTTGGCTTACAACTAAGAAACATTTATACTTTTTAGGTAACTTGAAATAATTATCATTAGTGGCACAGTATATCACTAAAAATCAATTTTATCTTTCAGAGAAACATCTCTTATTTCTCAAAGACATGTACTGATTTTCGAAAACTATAAAATAATCTACTTCCTTTAACAGTCACGTTCGGAACAGGCAACTTTTCCAATATTTGGTCAAAACCGACATCAAACATATCATTCTCATCTATTCTAAACGTGTAACCTTTGTTATCACAAATTTTCAGAAAAGTCACTGTTAGTTCGCCGTCCTCATCATCTACTTTATTAACAACAGCAGCATAACGATATTCCCTGTTCCCGACAGTAAACTTAACTAAAACATAATCACCACTGTTATAATAAGTTTGCTGAAGGCCGCTTGTACTAGGCTCCGCAGTATTCTCCAGATCAGTCTTAGTATTTTCAATCGGTCTTAAAAGGACAGTCTGTGTAATGCAGTCATTATTCCGTGGGATTTGAGCTAGCGGGATTTCGTCTTCGGAATCGGAGTCTGTGTAGAAATCCTCGACGTGAAGTTTTGCCACTTCATAGTTCATAACACCTAGGTTAAAATGCTGGCATTCTTCTTCACAAGGGCAGCTTAAGCTCTTCATTATAAGTTTGGCAGTGCCTTGTGGCAAACCCAAAGGACTGCGTGATATCTTTCCCTTAATCTGATGTATTTTAAGGGTGCCATAAAAGCTTTTTAATTTTTTGGCGTCTTTCAGAATATCGATAGCCATTTTTTTTATTGCATCATCGTCAACTGTAAATAGAGTGATTGAAGGACACCTTTGACGTACAGAGTCTATAAAAGATTCCAAACTATCGATATCTCCTCCTGCAGCAACGACAGCATCAGCAGATCTTTTGCACGTGGCGCCAATACCATCTGCGGCACTCTTGCCATGGCCACTCTCTGAAAAATTCCAGGAGAACTTTTCTACATTTGGAACCTCCACATGTAGCCTCGAAGCCAGAATATGGAACATCGTTTTATTTCGATACTGTGTAACGGGTCCGTCGCTCACAAAATGAATGCCGGTAATATGCGATGGTAAAGTTCTAAAAATAGGCTTCAAATGTTCCCAAATAGCAGCAGGTGAGTGTGTAGTATTTTGGGAAACAGTACAATAGGATTTTAAGGCATTTTTAGTGTAAACTACCACGGTATGAAGGCTAAGCTGAAGTTTAGAACCTCCAAAATGATAGGCCTGTATCTCCTCACTGTACTTGGTACAGTAATTTTCTGAAAAGTCCATGAGTATAACAACTTCATTATCATTAAGATTCTCTTTTAACTCTTTGATAGCTGTGTACTGATGAAATATGTTTCTTTCGTGGTTATAATACGCATCCAGTTCATCGTGTAGTTCTTGTATTAATTCACGAGGACTAACCGTAATTTTCTTTTTCACATATTTTGTTATAGATCGTACTTTATTTAACTTTGGATCTTTGTAATCTTGTTTCTCAGCTATCCATTTTTTATACACTATAGGCTTGCTATCATCAAACTCTTGGTAATCAGGATTCTTATTGAAACAATGCTGACATTCCCGAGATAAACATTGCTCATCATAACGATTACAGCAAGTTTTTTCAAGCAATTTATTATGATTATCGTAGCGCAAAATCTTCCGGCAGTACAAGGCAGATAATTTCATATCAATGTTTGCGTGTCTGATACAAAGGCATGTATCCCGTTCATTTATTTTGGGTGTTACCACCCAGAATGGACGCAAACGACAGAATGTCTGATAACTGATTAGACCTGAGTGATTACTCTTAAATTTCTGGTACAAATTGGTCAATGTATCTAGCAAGTATCTCTTATGCTTTTTGACTCTGTTCTTGGTTACACATTCCCGTTTTCCTGCACCAATTCTGCTATTATCATCATTTTCATAAAAATTTTGTACTATCTTCATATGTTCGGATGCAATAAGTGGTAGTCGAGTCCGTGTTGTGGGTAATAATGATAGATTTTTAATTTTCTGAAGCCTCTTATAGGACACCACACTTTCTTGGCTCCTCCATAACTTATATTTTTCAACCAATTCACCTGATATAACTTTTCCGAAAATATGTTTCTCTTTTTGTGTTTGTAATCCTGCATAGTTTTCTTTTAATTGTTTATTTAATACTTCCCCAAAAAGTGCCTTCTTAACAACGTCTTTGCGAGTTGATGGAGTGACACACATTCGTGTTAGTTTTGTGTTAGGTGTCTCATCTTTTTTACCGTTTTTATTAAGTTTTTGTTCCAACCGTTGTAATCTTTTTTTTTTTTTTTTTTTTTTATGTTAAAGGTGGCAAACGAGCAGACGGCCCACTTGATGGAAAGTGGTTACCGTCGCCCATGGACATCCTCAACATTTTGTTGCGGATGCGCTGCCAACCTTGTTTTTTGGCGATAGGGTGGGGAGGGAATAAGGAAATGAAGGGAAAGGGTAGGAATAGGGAAAGGGCAACCGGCTCTCTCACTCATCAGACGAAACGCAGCCGGTAAAGGCTACTTCACGCCGATCTTCTGTGAGAGGGTGGTACTTCCCCGGTCGAGCCAGCCCATGTTCGAGCTGCAGTAACTCACCACAGCTAGACTCTACCACCTCTTTTCTTATATTTTTCCAATTTCTGTTTGTATTGTTGAATCTTATTGTCTTTATCTTTCAATATCTTTGCACGTTTCTTTCTAGCCTGTTTCTTTCTTGCCTCAACTAATGCATTTTCTGACGACCTTAATGGCGCCGGACATTCTAATGTTGGGCCAGTAGTAGAATCTGGTGTATTTTCCCTGACAAAAGTATTAGTTATTTCTTTCATGGCCCTTTTTTTTTGACGATATTTAGTACAGCGCTCTTTCCAAGTCTTTTTAGCAGCCTTATGCTCGCGACGACTCATATCCTTAACCAATTTTATGCTCCCTTTTTCTTTCTTCTTTTGGTATTTCAGCCTTTCTTTTTCTTTCATTTCTTCTAGTTTTTGAGGGTCATTTTTAAGGCGTTGATATCTCAATTGTACAGCTATTCGTTTTTGTTCTAATATTTCTTCTCTTGTTTTGGGTGGCTTCTTTTTAGGTGGCATTTTGAGCTATAACCTACGAAAAAGAACGATAATTATATTATTAACGCTGAGGAAGATTGATGCGCTATCTAGCAATGAAGTCTTTACAAAACTTAAAAAAACATTCCCCTGAGGTAAGAAACACTCCCCTGTGCAAATAAATGACAGGGGGATGTTGACCAGGGGAATGTTTTTTTAACTTGAAAACCAAATAACACAAAATCATTAAAACATATCACATTTATAACACAGATGTGCAGACATGATTGCTAGTAAAATAATGTAAACAAATTATCTTATTTAAAACTCTTAAAATATGAAAACAAATGCTCACCAGTGGAGTGTTCGTACTAACGGCCGCGACGCGTGGTTCACATCCAAACACAGTGGTGCTACTGACAAAATGGCGGCTGTCTATTTACATTGACAACCGAACGAACTTCACACCGTTTGCGTTCCATTTCACCGTTGAAATGTTTTAGACTAATAACGTAAGTGATTTTCGCGCCGTTTTCAAATGTTACCAGGGTAGTGTTTTTAAAATTTGAGGACAAACTTCGTAAATTTTTTTTCAAATATTTTTTTATTATAGGCATGTAATTTGTAATTTAAAATATGCCACAGTCTTCTACAATTACATATTATTATCATTTAGTAACGAATTGACAAGTATTAAATATATAAATGGGTATCAATACTTTCAATTCTGGAAAAGGGACATACCAGGGGAGTGGTTTTTGAGATGTATAACATTTTTTTTCTCGAAAATTATTATATTAAATTATATAATGAGCAATGGTGAACCAAGAATACCACATTTATGTTCATATTAATCCTAAACATTTTTAAATTATAGTACTTATTCTAATAAAATTTGCTTGGGACAGTGATTTTCCATTTAGCAGAGAAATGCCCATATATCAATATATATATATATATTTATATATATATATATATATATATATATATATATATATATATATATATATATATTTATATACACATTGAGTAATTTTGTATTTAAATTCTCATTACACGCTTTTCCACTGCTAGTAGTTGCTCGCACGCAATTTCTTTGTAGTAGCTGAATGAATGGCATTCCTTTAACTCAAGGTCCTTTGTAATGATGTTTTTATATTAAAATTTTGTTAAATTACTATCCTTAATATTATTTTATCGTATTGAGGAAGAGATGAAGTAGAAAAGTCGTAACTGTGTCCAAGTCTAATAGCAAATTATATCAAAAATTATTCCATATGATTCCAGTATTTAAAATTAACTTTCAGGATATCGTCTTAATGCTAAAATAGATAAAAAGTTACGTATATGCTTAAAATATTGTGGTGACTTCATAAAAGGCTTAAATTAGATTATAGGATCTAAATTAGTCTACAGCTTGAAGTATTTTTAGTAATTTTCTTGACATTAATATAATAAGTTATTTGTTAATATTTTAACCGACTTAACAAGTCTCGTATTATATATTCGAGTGCGTGTGCAGGCGGTGGAGCGGGCGGCTCGCGTCGCGCCGAGCGTCGCGCCGCCGGCCCTTCAAACCGCCGAACAGGTACAAATGTTATGATAAAATTTTAATTATACATACATATATATTAAAATAGTACTTTTGACTAATCATTCTATATTAAGATAAAGAAAAATATGACCATATTTATTCCATAGATCAAAAAAATATATAATCTTTTGTCTCCTTTTTAGTCCCTTAATTTTAAGATAATTCAAAAATAGATAATGTATCAATTTATGTTTGTATTGTCTTTTTTTGTATACGTAAAAAAATGACAAGAAAAAAGGAAAATGGAGCTCTAAAGTTAATTTTCACCAAGATTTTTAAACATATGTGGCTAAAAAGTGAGAACTTCGTTCGTTAACTTGATTTCTAGGATCTTCTTACTGCGATGACTTCCTTGCTGATTTTCTATTAACACTAGCTTTTGGTCAGAAATGATTTCGCTCAGAAACGAGTAATGTGCTCAAGGAATATATTATGGTAGCCAATTCACAGTGGAAGCCACGTAAAACATAGAATTTTGTATAAATAATATCCTATGTGTTAGTCTAACGTGCAAACTGTATTAGTATTAAGTTTCATCAAAATCTGTCTAACAGTTTTATCTCGGAAAAGCAACAAATGTCCAACTACCCGTAAAAATCTCCGCGTTCCTACTAATAGGGATTAAGAAATCATGTTTTTATTATATATTTTTTCATATTTGCTTCTAGTGCAAGGCAATAAATGAAATTTTCAGTATTATAATTTCCTTCCGTGTTAAAGAAAACAATATTATAGTATTCAACAAAATAATGTAGATCTGTAGAAATGTCAATTAAGAAAACCTTAACCCAATTTATTATAAAATAATTTAACACTGAATGCCAAAAAGCCTTAAAAGACAACGAAATTGTTCGTTTACATACACTATAATTCTTGAAGTCGGTAAATTTATAACTAAATTTAAATTGTGGGTAGACACACAATACTCTTGGGGGCAGATGACGTTGTAGGTTTTGTCTTAATGATGAATTTCAATTGAAATCAAAGTGTTAATTATGTGTGAATTATTGTATTTCTGCCTAGTGTAAATACTATGTCATTTTACTTTATTATAAGATACTCAATAAAATTATGCTATTATAGACTTATTATTTCACGCCCACTAAGTAATGTAGGAACATATTCCTTAATTGCCTAAAAAACGACTGAAATGATTTAAATAGAATTTGTATGAGACCATCTCAAAAGTAAGAATTATCTACAAAAAAATAGAGTTTTAGAATTTATTTATGTTTAGCCATAATCACTGTGTAATGAAAAAAAAATCGTTGAAAAAAATTTTCTTTAATTTTTGATATATCTGTTAAATCTTTTTTATTACTTTCATGATAGTTGAAATAATTTTGGAGACTGAAACGATGTTTCTAAATAAATTTACTAGAAATTCGGTTTTCATTAGGTTATGACCTGACTAGTTTAGTATGACCTCCAAAATAGTTTCCAATTAACGCATTGGTGGGTTTTGCAAGTTGGTCAAGTTTGTCGAGGCCAGTTATAAGTGATCTGTCTCTCTGTATATTTTTTTCCATCGCTGAGATCTTGTATGTTGGTGTTTGTTTCGTAGGCGTGGCGTAAATCACTCAACTTATTTTTGAATACATTTTGTATTTATTTGCATTTTTTTCGTTTCTCTGTTCCGCTGTACTCATAAAACGAGCTCTTGGTTATTTGCTTATTCTTAATAAATACAAAAAAATAAAATCAAAGAAAAAACTGTCTTACATTTAGTTGTTAAATGCAAATTTTATATTTTTATGGAATATATACTATTTAAAAAATTTAATTACAAAGCATTTTTTTATGTTATTATCAGTCTTATGTTATTTTTGTATACAAATCAAAATGAAATTATTAGCTTGTTGCATATTCTATCTTATTTTATTCACAAAAATGTTTTACATATTTTCAATCTACATCCATAATATTATATGGTCTATGCGTATAGGCAAGAAATCAAAAATGCATTTTTTTTCGCGATTTCACGGTGGTTCCAAGTGGATATTTTTTTTTGTCAATTCCGTTCGCATCTACGTGGGAACAACTTTCACGTTATAGCCAATGATTACGCAACGTATGCTAAACTGGGTTGGTTTCTTTGGCGTGAAATGAGGCTCCGCTGGCGCTGTGGCCGAATGTTAAGTCTGACCTCCTTTTTTTTGGGCTTAATTCTTGTAAAAGTATAGTTTTTTTGATATTAAAAATGTACTGTGCCATTTTTATTGGGGTCTTTATCGGAAATGCCTGTATGCCTTGGCTTGATTTAATAGAATTAAGAAACTTAGTGTATTGTTTGGCTCGCGATAGTAACGTGATTATTTTTTCATCAATTTTCATATGAAATTGTCGTTAATATTCCTGTTTCTGGGTATTTCATTCCGATGTACATTTTTTATATATTTTTTTTATAATCGTAAGATAAAACATTAACTTTGAATTAGTGTAAAAAAGGTCTGTAGAGAAGATATCTACTTTAAATTTAAAGATTTTTTTTGTATAGATTGTGTTATACGTGATACATCTGGGTATTAATTGATATGCTTGCTCTGAGCGTCGAGTGTAAAGAATATAAAAATAGTAAATCAACAATGTTTCATATATAAAAGGAATGGTGAAAATTTATTTTTATGGTCCACAGAACTGAGAGTGAGCCCGGGGGCGGGGGCTGGTACCTCCGCTGAGTCTCCACACCTTCATCACACTGCACATCATCATCACATGGTAAAACAAGAATACTATCAGCCTATATCTATATATATAATTCTTCTGTGAGTGTGTATGTCACTGAACTTCTCTCAAACGACTGGACCGATTTTGATTACTTTTTTGTGTGTTCCAGGGGATCTGGGAATGGTTAAGATTCACAATTTTGTTCGCTGGACAATGTTTTTTTAATTAATTTTTAATTTATTAGTAGTTGTTGATACAAACGTTTTTTTTCACATTAGATTTGACAACTAACTAATATATCAATCATTCTGTCGCACTTCAAAACACGGAGATTTATGGCTTTAATAGGTAAACTCCAAAAATATAAATAAAAAAAACGTAACAGATACATATTTCTTGACTATAGGGCGATACGAAGTTCGCCGGCTCTTCTAGTATCTATATATTTCAATAGATACAATAGGTCCCTTCAAGGACACGTTTTTGTTCCTACCTTATTTTAATTCTTATCAATGCTCGCATTTCTCTGCCCGTTATCCGACTAAAGTGCCGTTATGTTTCTTGCTCTCTGTGGGTTGAAAATAAAAAGCGTAAAAAAATACAACCTGTTTCGACAAATTTAACTGTAGGTAGATGAACTTATATTATCTTCTGCCTGGCAGTTTCGCTGCTTTAGCCAGGGTCTTCCTTACATGTTGTGAATACTTTTGTCTAATTTAATTGTTTTTACGACCGGCCGCCTGCCTGACATCAACCCTCTTTGGGTATGCATTAATCAATGATGTCTAAATGCTCTTATAAGTACATATGACTCGGAAAAATCACATTGGTACTTGCCAGGATCGAACCCGCGCCGTCATGCATGAGATGCTGACCTTTTAACCTACGCCACTACTGACTTATATTATTCAAATGGTAAACAAAATATTATGTGAGTTTAATAAAATTTTTCAGGATACCAATCCTCTTGAGGGTTCAGCGCCTTTGGAGGCCGTTGTCGGCGCCAGCGCTGGTTCCTCAGATGAGCTATCAAGTAAACCGGGTGACAGTCCCACCAGGAAGAGACGTCGCATATCAAGGCATCTATCGTCAGGTGAACGAAAAATCCATAAAAATAGTAATAAAATAGTAATACTTGACATTGAGAATCAAGTATTACACGAATATGTAATAATAACTGGTTCTATTTCATCTGTTTTAATTATTTTTATTTCAGAATCTTGATTTGTATGTATTTGTTTTATATACTAGCTTTTCGCCCGCAGCTTTGCCAGCTTGGAGTTCGGTTATATCGCGTTTCCAAGAGAACCTTTTATAATGGGATAAAAACTATCCTATGTTCTTTCTCAAGGTCAACTCTCTCTCTTTCTGTACCAAATTTCATTTAAATCAGTTCAGTGGTTTAGACGTGAAAGTGTAACAGACAGACAGACAGAGTTACGTTCGCATTTATAATATTAAGTAGAGATATAAGCAACTAAAATGTTAATGTAATTATTTTCCTGATGAAGTAACTAATATATATTTGGTTTTCGTTTCCAGGTGAGAGTAACGTGACGGTAGCCGCGCCGCCGGTCGAGAGGCGGACACCGCGCCACCACTACCAACCACCGTAAGTACACACACACACATACACGCACACACACACACATACATACACACATACATACACACATACATACACACAGACACACACATACACAAACATATGAAGAAAAGTAGTGGATTATATGAGAACAGCAAGCAACAGAAAGATAAAAATGATTATAATGTAAAGGTATCAAATACCTGTGATACAAAAAAGGCGGTATTATTGACAAATGACTATCACTTCTATACGTCATCAGCCTATCAGAGCCCACTGCTCAGCAAAGGCCTCTTCTCACATGGAGAAAGTTTGAGCATTAATCACCACGCTCGCTCAAGACGGGTTGGTGATTTCAAATTTATAATTGTAAAATTATAAGTCCATATTTCCTCACGATATTTTCTTTCACCGTCAGTGGTGAATAAATACTCTTATAAAGTACATATGACTCGGAAAAATCACATTAGTACTTGTCAGGATCGAACCCGCGTCCTCATGTACGAGAGGCGGGTCCTTCAACCACTAGGCCACCACTGACTTATCACTTCTATACAACCTGATAAAAAAAACCTATCAATAAAAGTATAACATTAAATAAGAACGTTATTAAAAGCCAGTGGATGTCCATGGGCGACGGTACTACCTTCATCAGATAGGCCGTCTGCTCGGTTGCCACCTTTTCCCATAAAAAAGGCCTTGTAGGCAGTAGCGTGCACAAAAATTTGGGGTAGGGTAAGCAGAATATGTATGAAAAATAAAATACCAATTTACATCATTTCCTACACTAAAACATTTATAATAATGATATCTTTCACGAGTATTGATTTAAATTTAAAATGAAACTTTTTTTATTTATTATTGTTATGGCAGACGAGATGTCTGCCGGGATCACGGTTTCTGCAATGTAATCGAAACGTCGGGAGTATGTAGTTATCATAATAAATAAAATACGCGAAGTAATCAGAAAATATTAATTTCATTTAAACATTGAAAATATTCGTGCATAATGTTACAGCAGTCCGATCAATACGAACATCTATATACTTTATGAATCTCTCAACTACCTCAAAGCCACGAAAGTACTTTAAAACGATTACGATCTTTTCAAAAAAGCTGTATAAATAGGAATATCCAGTAGAGATTCAAACATTCTTATTATTATCATTTGAAAATAAGAAAGAAGACAAACAAAATAACTTATTTATCTGTACACAACCTGCTAACTAATTAAAACTATCATTGTTTGGGTTTGATACCACACACCATTTAGATTTAATAGTTTTGGAGACCAGCAAGTTTGTGAGTATCGCGTCTAGGTAATGAGAACGACCTGTTTATTTGAACGCTTTATTGATACTGACTAAATTATGACAATGCTTACATTTATATTGGCTTATGAATTTGTACGTACAATGAAATTATGTTAATGTATGGGTGAACCCACACATTAACATAATACTTTTTATTAAAACGAATAACATTACCTTTCTTTTAGTTCAATCTCAACTTGACTTTACACTTATTTTCATTTTATTATCAAAGGACAATGTTGAAAATCTACTGGTAACTAATTTCAATAATAATCACACATCACAAGCACAGAGCTCACATAGTATAAAATTATATATTATATAATTTTCCATAATAAATTAATCCACTGTTTACTAATTAAAACTTGCGCTTAGAAAGACAAATGACTATATTCAATAATAATAAAATTGCGAAAAAAATATATGAACAGTTTACCGAGGGAAGCAAGTCACAGTCACTGTTGAAGCTCCTCTCTACAACGATGAAGTCGTCATCCGTAATGATGATTGATTTCATAAACGTTGTCTATTTGACACTGTCCTGCATATGATGGTTGACCTGAAATTCTTAAACCACCACCTGAAATTCCAAAAGTTTGAAATCTTCTTCAGTTTCATACAAATTTGGCACTATTGTCAAAATACTGAGCAAAACCAAAACCCTTTAATTTTATAGTATCACAGAATACTTATTGAAAGCATTTTACGTCTCATAACTGACAGGTTCATCGAAACCAACACAAGAATATGTTTTCAACAGAGAAAAGTCCTATAATGAGATGTAAGACTTTCGCAAGTATTAATTTAAAGGAAAGTCCTCATTCATTTGAACATATCTCTTTACAGTCGTCGCGTGCGTTACGTCAGTGGTAACGGTGCGGGGGTGTGGCACGAGCGGCTGTTGGACCAGCACGCTGCTCACCCGTCGCACCCTCATCCCGCTCACCCGTCGCACCCTCACCCCGCCCATCCTGCGCACCCTGCTCACCCTGCGCACCTATCGCACGCGCACCACACACCGCTGCTGTTGGACATCAACCAGGTGGGTGCATCGTAATGATGAGTTGATTTGATGACATGATCTTTCGTCTGGTTTAATTCATTATACATATATGTTGTTATACTTTAACAGTAAACCTTTTAATAACACACTACTTTCAATTTTGCTGCCAATAAACGACATATAAGTGATGTTAAATTAAAATATCGATCCAGATGTCGCTGCGCGGCGCTCGCCTTAGTGCGCTGGGTGGTGGCGTGGGTTGGGGTCACCACGCCCCCCACCACGCTCCCCATCATGCCCCACATCAACACCAACACCATCGAGAGCATCCAACTAGGACCCAGGTATGTGGGGTAACACGGGAGGGTAGTTGCAGACGCTATTGGTCAACAAACTTATACATACCTAAAAATGACTCTATTGTAAAGATAAAATCAAAATTATATACAAAAATTTACAGGGCGACCATCAGTAAACATTTTGTAACATTATTGATAGGTTTTATAATCTTTAACGAGATGAAATATATCTATTGACATATAACGTATGTTAAGATATTGTAATATATGTTAGTTTGTAAGTGTTATTGATAATTATCAAAATTAAAACATTATTATTATATAGTTTTAATTTTGATCAAATAAAATTCATATTTGATGCGTAACGAAATGCGAGATTGTCAATCTGGGCATAGCATAAACCGAAGAGTTAGGTGATAAACATGTAATAGAAGTAAGTACAGCGAAACGTAAAATGCATCAAATATCATATAAATATTGACATTTTATTAACAATATACGACTATAATGTCGTCTATGTACGCGTTTTACGTTTCGCTCGCGCGGTATCCGTGGTACAAGCGTGGCGCTGCAGGTGGCGGGCGTGGCTGCGGGCGAGCTGTGGCCGGCTGTGCTGCCCGCGCTGCCGCATGCGCATTTGCGCTATCAGGTACCACCATAGCACGAACATACCGATACACACATACATGACGAAATCTTCATACAATCTATTATACTTGGAACATAATAATCCAGATTTTGATCTTGTGTTCCTATAAACACTTTGAAAATAATTATTCTATTGAAAATTCATAGTTTTGTCTCTCATTCGATCAAAAATATTACTAAATAACACCACACAGTTAATGACAGTCCACAGTTAGCCCCGGCGTGCATGCACAATACATTTGATATAGAATCTCTTGATCTATCATCCCTTAGATACCACTATATGACCTTTATACCCTGCAATGTCAATTAGAATATAAATATATGCATTTTTGAACTTGCAAGATCATATTTAGTGAATTATATTTATGGTTTATAATATCAATGAAAACGAAAGAGATTTTAGATCAATGCACTATAATTCACATTGCACCGCTACATCGTCTAAATAAATATAGACATATACGCTACAGCTTCCTGAATTGGTTCGGGTTTTTTCGTTAGTGATATACATTTTAGATAGTGTCCAAAGTTCTAATATAGTAATAAGGTCTCCTGTTATTAATATTGTGCCTGGCTGGACCTGTGGCTTGTTGAAATTGGTATTTGATGATATCCCTTATGTAAAGTCGATCTTGATGTCAGCTCATTTTCTAAGTTCAAACCATTGATTGTGTTCATATATTTATATGAGCTAACGTCATGATCAGTTCTGTCCTTGGTACAGTTACAGCTTCAGGTATCTGGTGCGTTTGGTATGCTTAGTTTATTCTTCGAAGTGCCTGCTATAGGTTAGATTAAAATCTGCGCTGGAAAGAATATCGCTGTCTTTTAGTGTTTTTAATTATCATATAAGTATGTTAAATGTCTTTGGAAGTCAACCCGCCTGGTTATACGCTTCTAATTAATGATTAATCTAATTGATATATTTATATTTTTAGTTTTTTGCATAGAATAACACAATCCAGGCGTTTTGACAAGCATATGATAAGTGCCTTAAATTTTTGTGGCTAATGAATATCTTCTTAAAATAGTTCTAATGTACATTTATTATTTCATTTACATTTTTTCATGTATGTAATCCGATTCCCATTGTCTTTTTTTTATATTTTTAATCAAATATTATAATGTTTTTTTATGAAAATGTGGATCGGATATGAAGAAACCTATCTGTTGTAGTAATGTATCGTTTAGAATTTGTTCTCCCCTCAGCTGTACTACACGGCACGCGTTTAATACTTTTATTTATATATATTTTTTGTTTTTTGTTTTTTATTTCTGTTACTATACTAATGGAAAGCAAAACAGCTACCCACCAGAGCTTTCATTTATAAAAATATATCTAATAGTTATGTAACTCAATGTCTCGATAGCAATATGTACACACGTCAACTCTAGCACGGAGTGATATGCATGCCCAGATTATTATGTTCTGTGATAATGGTAACTTGCGGTGAGGAGGGTACTAGTTTTAATAATGTTATAATTGTAAATGTCGCTTTTACAATGTAATGTAAGCTTGCGGCGACAGCCGTTACGGTCAGCGACACAGTGCTACACTTACAATCTATGTCGCCAGCCGTACTTCGCATTCTACGCTCGTTCTTTGTAAGAATATTTTTCTAATGTACCGGAGGTTTATCGACAGTATATAATGTCGTTAAGCGTTCGATTATATATATATTTTAAGGTGAGATGGAGGGAGCGGGCTCACTAATATATATTTTTTTGTTTGTGTCTACTTATCCGTCCGTTCGCACACTCGCTTCCCCGTGTATCTATCTACATTTCACCTACCTTAAATCATTTTCGACACAGCTTTTACTATTCTACCCTCCGATTTACCCGATCACGCTTATCATTACCTTCGCTTCCTACGACTCGTATATGACTTCCGGTCAATATGTCATCTATATTTATGCTTTTTCTCTATCATCGTATTTATTTGGATGATATTAGTGTGTAGATAGATACTCGAGCAAGTAAGCTAGGGACTTTTCATATAATGTCCTTTATCCGTGATCTGTATGAAACACGTCCGCTCTATAAGCACCTGTCATGTTAGTTTTAACAAGCTTGTCTTATGTGAGAGTGGCCCCGTGCATTGTAAACTTAATTATACCCATCAGTAAGAAGGTATAATCAGTTTGGAATGTCTATATATTATATATTTATTTATTATTTTCCTTTTAATAAGCCAGGCGTATGGTTTTTTATCAGCTACTGCTAGATGCAGTGTGTTTTAGAGGTGGCGGTAGGCTACATAGTGAATTGCATCACTATTTTGAATATATTATTATTATATTAAAATTTTACATCCGACCTGCACAGTTGCTTGATGTAGGTGTTGACAGTAGACGTTTTTCATTGTCTGTGGGACTCTGGTAGCTGGTCACGTAACCAAACAGGTTGCAGTTAAAATGAAACGTCTACAGTCGCTAAAGTTTATCTATCGATGTTCCTGTCATGTTACACCACTGATTCGATTGTTCTTGTTTATTATTTAACGCTATAATAAAATTTGGTGGAAAACTTGCCATCTTTTTTATATATCACAATATGGCGACTTGAAAATTAAAGCATGCAAAATTATGCATCATTCTGTAAATACTGGTACAAAGATGAATATAATTCTTCAGTAATCGCTAGGTTTGTTCTGCTTCAGCTCAATACGCTTCGGAATAATATCATTAAAATGAGGGTAGTTTCAACTAATTTAGAGATCTGGGATGAAATTACTTAGTACTATCACTTATTACGCCTTATATATACAAAAAATCTGTGTTTTGAACAATTTTAATTCACTTAGACCCTGATTGCGATCTCCCAAATATTTTTTATTATATATGTTTGTTAAAGCATGGATCTATATTTAAAGAATGTTCTATGTGAAATCAGCGTTTTAATTGTCAATTTGTCGGGTAGTTTTTAGTGCTTCTGACTATCGATCATTCTACCTATGATCACGAAAGTTTTTGGTCGCTAGCAGCTCAAGCTTATTCGGTAGTCTCCTATTAATATGAATAAACCAAATAAATATTTGGTTGGTCGCTTTCATTAGACTTGGCTGTTTTCTACGATGTTTTCGATGTATGTGGAAATTTTAACATTATTATTTATTTTTTTATGTTTTGTTTAAATTCGTCACGTGAAGGTTGCGGGGTATTAACACTGGCTCGCTGTTTTGATGAATCAAATGGTCAGCTTCTTAGATTTTTATCTCGTTCAATATCATATGTTAACGCATCTTCCATAATATAACTTAATTTGGTAGTTTTCTTTTATTTCTTCCTCATATTTCTGATTTACATTGGTTATGTATTTATTTTGTTTTAGTTAATCATTGATTCGTCTGTCATAATTTTATTTAATAGAACGAGACAAAAATCTTATAAGCTTCATAAAATTCAATGCCTCAATTAGATGTCCATACTGGTTAATGGTCTGATATTGAAGAGATTTTCTTTAATACATAATATTATAACTAAAGAAATCTCTCTCATTACATCAAGCGAATTTACCAGGTGAAGGTTGCTGTGATGAAATTCTGTTAATCATCAGAAAAGATTGGCTTATTAAAACGCTAGTACAGCATCTTTCGCCGTCGTGATCAATATGATTTATTGGTAACATATGAATTGATACAGATGGGCGGTGTGTACGCGGGGCTTCAGTACCACGGGAGCTTCGCGCCGGCCCCGCCCCCGCGAGGACCTTTCGCCTCCCCTCCACACCCTCACACGCATTATATAACCAACTCACAGGTACATACGTGACGATTTAATAGTTTTCAAGCGTTTAAGGTGAATTTTAATAGAGCAATGTTGCATCTAAGTCTTTAGTCGCGTTAAATTTGAATGACTGCAGATTTACGCGATCATTATTTTTAACTGCTTACTCCCAAGGTTTCGGTTACTTAACAGCGACCGTAATTATGGGTATACGAAACTAGAAACTCATAATTATCATAAACGTGAACCAATCCATATTAGTTTTATATCAACTTTGAAATTTCGTTCTCAGCGTTCGGAAGGAGGTCGTCTAGAAATGTTGGGTAGCGGTGAAGGTGGACTTTCTCCGCTTCAACCTACAGCTGATCTTCATCACGCGCCCCTATTACTCGCCACTGAGGTATGAACTAAAATTGATCCAAAAAACGGCCTTAAAGATCACTTTTTGGTTTTGTCCAAGGAATTGGTCCATTAGTGCAGTTTTGGGATCTAATATGCAGTTGAATGTTAATTTTTGTTTCCAGGCGCGAGGTGCTCCATTGGAACTGATGGCGCCTCATCACGCGAGACACGCGCTGTCACATCACCATCATGTAAGAATTTCTGTGGATCATAAAACTAAGACTATTTTATATATACAGGGTGACTGGTGAATTACTATCGATATTTGAGGACGTGATATTTGACGATCATATATGACAATATAAAAATTAGTATGACATAAATATTAATAAACTTCTAAGTAAAGTTAACCAAAAGTTATGTAATTAATTACGCATCGTGTGAACACCCTTCAGATTAGGTATACACTCACACACACATACGCGTGCGGCGGCGTAGTGTTGTATCAGCACGCCGCTTCCACACTTGAAACACTTGGAACGTGTCAACACTTTATTTATTTATACGGAAATTTGGTCAAAAATTAAGTGCCTATTTTTTTTACATAATTCGAATGAGAATCATGTACCGAGTATTCTCCTTAAATATTGATAGTAATTCACCAGTCACCCTGTATATTAAATTAGGGTGACTTAAAAATTGAAGCATGAAACATTTTTCTTTATTTATTTTATTTGGATAACCAACAAAAAACAACTTAAATTAAAAATTATCAAACTATTAACAATAACTTAAATGTCCTTTTAATTATAGGCTATCACATCATGCGAATTATAATAATTGTGGTGTATCAAGATTTAAATTATAAAACAATAATAATAAATTAAATAAAACATTACATAGTAATCAGTAACATTGACATAACTAATAACATTATTACAGAAAATACAATTTAACATTTCAATATAACACAAAGTTTTAAAATATCACAAAATTAAATTTAAAAAAATATTTTATTTTGTTATAGTCATTTAAAAAAAATTATTATATTTTGTAAATACTTGTAGTAGGGGAGCCCACGATGCTAAATGGGGATTTACTCGAGCGTCGTAGAGACCTATTGGGATGCAAAGCTTAGATGATAAGAAGAAAAAAATGTTACATGATATGTACCTTTACATCGGTGGGGGAAGCGGCTATAGTTTTTTAAATATGCAAAAAAAAACTGCTACATGGACTTCCTCGAGCGCGTCAGATATTGATAGCATCAATGCCCTACGTATTTTTAATAATGTACGTATGTTAATCTGATCGTTTGCATGATGCGGGTGGTTGTATTTAAGGGTTGAAAATGAAAAAAAAAAAAATTTTTGTCGAGCGCGTCAGATCTTCTAAGGGAGTGTTAGGTGCACCAAAAAAAAGCTCTCATTCACTAATCTGACGATTTCGATGAGACGCAAACTCGCGGCCATTTTTATAATATGCAAAAAAAAATCGCCATTTTGAAATACTCAAGCGCGTCAGATTAAGATATATATATGGTTAATATTTATGTTCTAAACGTACTGTTTCATAATCTGACGATTATGTAGCGGGATTCACCTAACCTGACAAAAAAAAAATTAGAAAAGCAGTTCACCTTAAAGGCCATCCCTGCAACTTCTAACTAATTCCATTCCTGGGTGCTTAAAAATGTACTTATGACATTTTTGAGCTCAAAATATAATTTATGTGATATTTTGAGCTCGCTGAGTTCAAAGAAATAATATTTCTATGCATTAAATTATTAAATTAATATCACTCATATTAAATGTTTATAACCTTTAATTCACTCAAATAATATTAAAATAGCAAAAAAAAACAAAACGTTGGAAACACGTTGTAAACAGTATGCCACGAACGTGTCTTTATGATCAGCTGTGATGGCAACAGAAACCAGAGTGGGGACGGAGTGAGAGAGTAATAGATAGAGAAAGAGTGAGAGAGGAATAGAAACGCGGAGAAGGACATGTAGGCATCACGCAGCAGCACACATTTAACTTACATACAACTTTATCGACGAAATTTTGTTATTTCGGCTTGTGGAAATCGTCAGATTATATATTTTTCATTATTCTTGAATTATTTCCTTCAAAATAAAAAAAAATTCAGCTACGCTCGAGAATGTCGAGATGACGTTTTTTTTTTACAACTTTGTTGCCCTCCCCTTTTTTTTCGTCACTCTCAAATTGTCAGATTAGTGAAAATATACACTTTTTAGGGTGTAATTAACTCACTCTACCTTAATCTGACGCGCTCGAGAATTTCTGATGGTCAATTTTTTTTTACTAATCTGATCCTGTATCCTTCACGGGCGGCTTTACATATGGGCCCCATGTTTTGTGGAGGTACTTAACTGGGTCCCAGGTATCCCCCTGTATATTAATCTGCCGCGCTTTAGTAAATCCCGAAATCCCCGCTTGGGCTCCCCTACTATTGTACAAATATAAATATAATTCTTGTATGTTCGTGATATTAAATCATCAAAATCACAGGGTAGTTATATACCCAACATACCAAAAGCATTACTATAGTCAAAATATGTTCACAGCGCCGTAGTGGTGGCGGCGTGGGCGTCGGTGGTGGTGTGGGCGTGGGCGTCGGTGTCGGCGTGGGCGTTGTGGGCGCTGGTTCGCGAGCAGCCCGGCCGTACGTCCGTGCAGCTCCGCGCTGGGCCGCCCATCCTCACACCGTGCATCACATACATCAGGTATATAACAGTTTTTTATTGCTTCTTTGGTTTTGTTTCACAAAGAGAAGAATAGTGTTAGTATGGGTATCTTTAATAGTATAAGGACAATATACCCCAATAGTTAAACCGACTTCAACTCTGAAATAACAAGTTCGATATCTGCTCGTGTTTATTTTTCATTGGTTCTTTTGGAAACCATTATCTCCAAAGACCATGCCATCAAGGTCAATGAGTATTACGAGCTCAAATGAACTCACTAGAAAAGGTTCGTCGTTGATTTGTACGCGGTAGAAGTGGGAGCAAGAGGTATAACAACTAAATACTATATAATATAACAACTATATACTATATAATACAACTAAACTACAACCTACTAAAAGACTTGGGCCTGTCCAGAACTAACAAATTCATTCTAAGAACGTACTTCGAAGGCAGTTCTTGTAGGTTCGTTTCAAATGAGTTAGAGAGAGGAGCTTGTACGGTGGAGGTGAGCGTTTAACGTTAGATAGGGTCCCTTAAACCTACACCTGGGTCACAAGTCCCAGTCACTGTTGTAGCTCCTCTCACTACAACGATAGATCCGACACACGCACCGTGAATACATGGAATGATGAGAGGTTTCGCCTCATATCTTTATATATATAATTCTTCTGTGAGTGTGTATGTCACTGAACTTCCCTCAAACGACTGGACCGATTTTTAATTTATTAGTAGTTGTTGATACTTACGTTTTTTTTTTTACATTAGATTTGATATTTAATATGTCAATCATTCTGTCGCACTTCAAAACACTGAGATTTATGGCTTTAATAGGTAAACTCCAAAAATATAAATAAAAGAACGTAACAGATATTTCTTGATTATAGGGCGATACGAAGTTCGCCGGGTCTTCTAGTATAGTATATAAATATTTCGTATACTCATATTATATATATATTTTATCTTCTTTCAGGGTGGAGGAGGTCTAGTTCAAGCGACGCTGCCCGCTCAGCTGCACGTAGCGTCGCCACTATCACTGCCACCGCCGCCCCCCACCTACCAGGTAAAGATGATCCCTACACACGTATAATAATAATTAAATCAAGGATCTTGATAAATGACATCATTAGGTAATATCTAGACTGGAATAAATCCTAATTTCAAGGATGTTTCTAACTTGTATATGGTATAACATTCATATTATAGACTCATGTCAGTCAAGAACAATAGTTTTTATTGTCTACTCATCATCATCAACCTATCAGAGCCCACTGCTGTAAGGCTTTTCCTCTCATGGAGAAGGTTTGAGCATTAATCACCACACTCGCTCAAGACGGGTTGGTGATTTCAAACTTATAATTTTGATATTATAAGTCAAGGTTTCCTCATAATGTTTTCCTTCACCATCTTTTACTAATATATGTATTCCACAACTCAGTTCCATTTCATTAATACAGATTTTAGGGATATTTATACTAATTATCATTATGTATTTATCCTACTAATATTATAATTGCGAAAGTTTGTGAGTGTGTGTGTATGTTTGTTACTTTTTCGCTCTCAAACGGCTGAACGGATTTTGATAAAATTTTGTATACAGGAAGCTGACGTCCAGGAATAACACACAGGCTACTTTACATCTCGGAAATCAGCGGGTAACACCGCGGGGCGCAGCTACTACATAATATATAACAAATATGTCTCTCAACAGGTGTTCCTAAATCTGCTGGCCATGTTCCCGCTGTCGCCGTACGCGGAGGCAAGGGACGAGGCCGGGGATTCCCCGGAAACGGAGAACTACGAGGCGCTGCTGTCGTTAGCGGAGCGCCTTGGGGAGGCGAAGCCCCGGGGGCTCGCCAGACACGAGATAGACCTACTGCCTTCATACAAATACTCTGAACAAACGCACCAGGGTATGTTGATATATACTACTACTAAATTTGTCCCACTATTTGTTTATGTGATACTAGTTTTTGCTTGTGTTATCATCATAATAAGAAATGTATCTGACCGGGCGAACTCTGTTCCTCCTTAAAGTAGATAAGATTTTGGATTTATCAAGTAATTTTTTTTTATCGTATGTAAAGTATCCTATTTCATTTCTTTGTTCTAATCTATCCCTCCACCAATCTTCATCCAAACCCGTACAGTTGTTACCCGTACATAAAAATGTATACCACAATGAATAATTATTAGATATGATTTAAATTAAAATTTCCTATAACAATATCTATGTTTTATCAAGCGATTGTATCCACAATGAAACAGCTGAATGAATTTTAAAATGACTCTAATTTATGAGGCTGTAAATCACTATACGATTAGAAATGCAACTAAATTACTAAAAAAACATAAGAAATCTTTATATATAACTAGCTTACAGCCCGCAGCTTCGCCCGCGTGGAGTTCGGTTATATCGCGTTTCCAAGAGAACCTTTCAAAAGGCTGGGATAAAAACTATCCTATGTTCTTTCTCAAGGTCAACTCTGTCTGTACCAAATTTAATTAAAATCAGTTCAGTGGTTTAGGCGTGAAAGCGTAACAGACAGACAGACAGAGTTACGTTCGCATTTATAATATTAATAGGGATTGTATAACAAGTGTCGCCATGTGTTTCATACTTATTACAATACTATATATCCATGTTTATTTTTTCAGGTGAGCAGACATCGTGTGTGGTGTGTATGTGTGAGTTCGAGGCTCGACAGACTCTCCGCGTGCTGCCCTGCGCTCATGAGTTCCACGCCAAGTGTGTCGATAAGTGGCTACGGGTATGTATAGACATATATATACATACATATATACATATTATAAAGTTTCAAAGTTAAGTCAGTGGTGGCCTAGTAGTTAAAAGGCCCGCCACATGCACAAGGGCGCGGGATCGATCCTGGCAAGTACCAATGTGATTTTTCCGAGTCATATGTACTTTATAAGAGTAGTTAGACATCACTGATTAATACATTCCCAAAGAGGGTTGACGTCGGTCAAAAACAATTAGCCAAAACAATTCACAACATGTAAAAGAAGAATATACAAATATATGTGTTAAGAACACGATAGTTTAGTTTATAAGATGACTGTAACGACATGTCATTGGTCATAGTTTCAAGTTCATATAAATTATTTTTTTAATTATATATCCTTCGTATAATCTTTGAATCACGCATAGAAGGTGTGATAAATGTTCATTTCTGTATAATTGTCAAGATTAATTTAATAATATAAGTATTGAACATATACAGGGTGACTGGTGAATTACTATCAATATTTAAGGAGCATGCTCGGTACATGATTCTCATTCGAATTATGTAAAAAAAATAGGTGCTTAATTTTTGACCAAATTTCCGTATAAATAAATAAAGTGTGTACACGTTCCAAGTGTGGACGACGCCACACGCGCGCGCGTGTGTGTGTGTGTGTGTGTGTGTGTGTGTGTGTGTACCTAATCTGTAGGGTGTTCACACGATGCGTAATTAATTACATAACTTTTGGTTAACTTTACTTAGAAGTTTATTAATATTTATGTTATATTAATTTTTATTTTGTCATATGTGATCGTCAAATATCACGTCTTCAAATATCGATAGTAATTCACCAGTCACCCTGTATACATACATACACTAGCAGTATATCCAGCTAATATTCATTGATACTTTTCTATATTAATATTTATTTCAAATAGAATACCCACAAGTCATTATATATAATGCATGAACTCTTATGTAACATATATCTGTTCCAGTCAAATCGAACGTGCCCCATATGCCGCGGGAACGCTTCGGAGTACTTCACCAACTCGGAGTGACTCAACCAGAATCGTCCTTATTGTGTTAGCAGTAAGGGCGATATATGAACATCGCTTCGGATTTGTGTATTTCTTTAGTGTACAATCACCGATGTCCTAGTATAGTTGTAAACACACTTCGCTGTATCGACTCTATAACTATCAACACAAAGTCTATATTCCAATGTAAAACCCTGGCGGAGTGCTGTCATCTGTTATTATTATGTTATTATAGTTTCAAAGTTACCCGTAACATCGCCTGTATTAAGTGTTAAGTATGTACGGCGGCCTTAGTTGTGTGAGTGACCTTGACGGTCCGAGTGTGAGTGTATAAATAGCGGAGCGTGCTGTCTAAAGCTCAGTCGGTGTCAAGATGCCGTGTCAGACGGACGTGTATTGGGGATAGTTTAGTTTTAATTTTAGTTGCGTGTGAGGTCGATTTATTATTACGTTAATTTTTTTATTATTATCATTATTATAATAGATCCCGTTGATCAAATGTCGCGTTATTTTTTATACAGCATGCATTTCTTTTATCGATTGTTTCGCTTTTTAACATTGTATTATTATTCATTGTGTTGTTGTGTGGTCGCGATGATATTTTCGGGGAGAGGTCATATGTATAAAAACCAATATAATTATAATATTTTCTCATTGTCTCTTACAAAAGTCCTCTCCCACATCTAAAGCAATAAAAGTCGTCGTGCAATATATGTATGTAGGCTAGTTATTTGAGTGCAGCGATGGTTATATATTTTTTTAAAGTATCAATTTTTAAACCAACAACATAGGGTCCATTATTTAGTTGTCATTTAAAAAGATATTGAAGTCAATATTGTTAAGATATAGTAACATATAATATAGTATGTAAATATAAAAAGCAATATATAGGGACATTTTTTTTTAACGGTGAGGGAAGGTTTTGATGTGGCTTCCATAGTTTAGTTTAAATTCATTTAAGATACAACACGTTGGAAGGTTAGTTCATTTGTTTTTTGTCAAGTTTTTTAATCTGTGCCATTTTTTCATATGTATATATATATGTTAGTTTTGTATAATGTCTTGTTTGTCCACTGGTTGTGATAGCTCTTGATTTTGAACATTTTCTTTGACTTATAATATTTTAATTCTCATTCTGATTATTTTTAATGAAAAATTTATGTGTCATCGCCAGTGTGATTGTTAAATTCCGTAGTAAACTGCTTATGTATGTATATCTGTTTGAAATCACATTACCAACTATCTCAGGAACTCTGTTATTTGTACTTAGCTTCTCTCTATAATCAACTATCATTTAGTTAAATTAACATCATTGTTTGTTTATATTCCACAGTTGTCTTAAGATTGTTTTTTTTAATCCATCGAAGCTCAAATTCTTTATAGCCTGCTCATTTTATCCTCTTAACTAATATGAAAATGCAATTAATATTATTATGTTTCTTTTCAATGTTAGATTATTATTATTATTTCTTCCACACATATAACCGGGTGGTAGTTAGTTCAATTTTTTGTTCTTTGAAATTGTGCCTTATTGCATATACGTTAAGTTTTAATATGGTTTTGATTTATCACTTATTATATGTTTTAAGTACTAGGATAACCAGAAACGGAAATTATGTAACGAGCTTTTGTTTTTTTTTTTCTTGTGTATCTGTTAATCGCATCCCGTTGGCGGCGACTGTATAGCTGTTGCCCGCAGCGGCTGTCACTGTCACAGTGACATCTGTCAGGTTGACGTCTGTCAGTCTGACGGATGTCACTGTACGCAGCCAACTGTCATAGCTTACGCCAGCCAGACCAAAGGACTGTGTAACTGTATTGTATATAGAGCGTTCGCGGTGCTCGAGTTTTTTCTCTCTGTCGAGCGACGGTCTCAACTCGGGCACCCGGGCGCGCTACATCCGCCTCATTATGCTCAGTCGTTTTTATTTTATTAAATGCACTGCTAATTTACATTTTTTTGTTTCTTTCATTTGTTTTATTTCCTTTAATTTCAGTTTATCTAACAACTCTTAGCTTGTGTATACGGTGATAAATGAAATATTTAAGAGCATGTATGTATAGATCTGTTTGATATAGATGTGTTATTTATATATTTATATATTTTTAACGTACATAGTGACGTAGAGTCGGGTCAATTTTCATATATACAGGCTGTGTGTTTCTTAGCTTAGGAACACCCGCTATATAAATATATAATTGTACAAAAATTATATAAAAAAACGATTATATAACGCTTCCTTAAGGTCCTGTATATTTATGTATAAAGAGTTGTATGGTTATAGCGTTGCCAGATCTAGGTCGTACAGGTGATCGTTTAGGTGTTACAGCACAAGCTCCAACCTCCAGGTGTTCACAGAGTCGTGCTTGACAGTCATGTCCAGTAGTATAGTGTAAATATCATGTAAAATGAATATATGAAAGGTATTTTTGCATGATTTTAATAATAATGCGCCGCTGGCGTCGCTCGCACGCCGTTTTATAGTCCGCGCCCCGTCCTAACGCCTCCCCCCACCCCTCGGCGTGCGAGTGACGTCAGCGGGACCCATGCAATAATTTTTCTATACGAATTACTCGTAGTGTTAAAGTTGTGCTCCGCGTGTGACGACGCTATGTCGCTTGTATTTTTTTTATTATATTTTTTCGTAGTTTTTGCACTGTTTCGTTGTTTTTCTTTATAGGTATGTTATTTTTCGGTTGTGTGCCGTGTTCGTAGTGTGTATTGGCGGGTCGGTAGGTATTGTTGTGGGCCTTCATAGTGTAAGTTTAAATATATGAGAATCCTGTTCAGTGAGAGCCAGCTAGCTGGGTGAAGTTGAGATTCGTATAGATAATCGATTAGAAGTACCTCCGGTTGGAGTTCCAAGTGAATGGACTCCGGCCGGGTCCTAATCTATGAAGCTACCTCCTCGCGACTTGCGGTAAAACACCAAGATTGAATTTAATGAAAATATAGTATAAATAACATGTTTTATATTGCTTAAAAGATTAACGGATGTACGGTGAGGACGCGCACGACAGACTCGATCCAAGCGCTTCGTACCTTAATGCGTTGAAGAAACACATACTGAGCTATATTATTGTTATTTTCACATTCACATATATTAAGTCTAATTTGGAATGTTACTCGACTGCTTGTATATTAAAATTCGTTTACCACAATACATATCTTAACACTCGTTTTCATTCCGAATTGGACATGTAGCCGACGATAATAGGACCAAATTTGTAAAATTTACACAGCTCATATCTTTATACGAGTTTATAAATATAGATATATAGATATAATTTTGCTATTTTAATATAAGGCTTTACATAGATTTGTTTTTCAATATTTTCATTTAGCTTCGTTTTGACGTGAGTCAATATGACATATGATGTTGCCAAAATGAAAAAAATATATAGTAATGGTAGGATTTGAGTGCGTTTTATGATTCAATATTGTTATAGCGCTTGTATTGTTTTTATGTAAATGGACGAGCTAACGTGTGGCCCTCAACGCGACACTACTGCAAATAAAGTAACTCTGAATAGCATTTTTGTTTTATTTATTTAAAAAATATAAAATTTCTTGAAGAAAAAATTTACTGTGATTGGAGTAATGAAAATAGGAAGGAATAGACATTTATTTAAAAGGAATCTTTAGTGATTCTTCAAAAAACTTTATGTTGATTAGGTACTTAGAAGTCACAATTCATTGCGTTTGACACGGATTCGCTCTGTTTCATTTTACCCCTTCCTTCCCAAAAGCTTAAATGTTTAACGCAGCCCTGTTGGAAATTGAATAAGAAGTTTCACTTGAAAAAGATATTACAAACTACATACAAAGAATGGAAAGGTTTTTATGTAGAAAAAGACATTTAAAGAATTTGTTCAATTTCACAATCACGACAGTGCAACATATATTGTTTGAGTTAAGTCTTTTTTTTATGCTACATCTTCATTGTTACTGGATCCGTGGAATATTTTGCCAATGTCAGACTCAAGTCTTAAAGCTATACCTATATACCTATTCATACCTATTCATGACAATAGCTAGCATCACTGCAATAACTTCTTATTCTTACAATAAAGCTAATTAAAAATGGAAAATCAGTTTGTAATACGAAGACTGTTATAGATGGATGCAATATTTTTTTTAGAAAATTTAATTTTCTTTAGAAGATCAACAATTTCACATTAAATTTTCATAAACGCAATATGTATATTCATTTTCTTTGCTTGTCACAGATATTATTTAATGCATATTTTGGTTCAAAATATTCAATAAAACGTTCCCTTGGGAGTTTTTGTACTAACGACAAAACTTCGTCCACAAGTCACCTCGTTACGATTGGAATATCTTATGGACAGATTTAGATCTGAGTAATGAAATTTTCGAATGTTTTCACACGTTATTTACATTTATATGATAATAGAGATATTACTTGACACGATTATATTATTGGTCCATTTAATCCAGAGTGTACATGCTTAAATGAATACTCGCGAAAACCGTAGATCTCATTATGTACAGGGTGACTGGTGAATTACTATCGATACTTGAGGACGTGATATTTGACGATCATATATGACAAAATAAAAACCTATTTTTTTTACATAATTCGAATGAGAATCATGTACCGAGTATTCTCCTTAAATATTGATAGTAATTCACCAGTCACCCTGTATATGCTCAAGATTTAGTTTTAAGCGTAATCGTAATAAGATTAAGATCATTCCTTAATTCGTTCTAAAAAATAATTTGAATTACATTTCGACGTTTATATATTTACTGACTGTCATGCCACCAGCCCCATTGAACGAAAGGCTCATATTTTGAAAATATCACGTGAGATTAGGGGATGGCTGGAGGGGCTTGAATTAAATCTCACTACTTCTCACCAAGGCGGTTTTAGGGTCAGAAATTTAGAAAAAACACCTCACCTAATTTATTACCACCCCCTAATAAAGAATATAGCTAGTAACTCCATCACATAGTAGCAACCAAGTTACTCTACAAGGACCACTGTCAGCTATTC